GGGCTCCTTATTATGATTTCTTTGTATAAGCCCTTAAAAAGGTAGGTTATTTGGGGTTAAGGTGGAGTGATAAGCCTTGCTTGGAGCTGTCTTGCTTCGAGATCCGCCTTAGATCCGTCTTTCAAGTAAAGTTTCCACAGATCAGCAGGCTGCAGCCACCTTGCCAAACTCCGTACGTCAACCAAGGAACACCGAATCGGTCAAGCCCTCAACATACCCCAGCCCTAGCCCCGTAGGACGTTGTGCTAGGTTGAAAACACCTGCAGCCCGTGTAGAAAAGAAAAAAGCACACCAAGCACCCTTCTAGACCCTAAAACCTCAACCTCTGCAAGAATCGAGCCATACCAGAGATCCTAAACCCTAAACCTCCAACTTCTGAGCAGTTTAGGTTTTCGGGTTTTAACCCCTGGACCCAAAACCCTATACACCCTAACTAAGAGCCCTTTCTGGCTGGTATTCGCCAGGTCACCCTCTCGAAGTCGCAGAGATCAAGCCTTACGGAGAGCCCCGCGCACAGAGTCAAGCTTAGGGTTCTGTCAGGGGTTTAGGGGTTTAGCGTTCAGGAGTTTTAAGGGTTTAGGGTTTACGGTTTAGGAGTTTAGGGTGTAGGAGTTTAGGGTTCAGGAGTTGAAAGATTAAGGGTTCTAGGAGCTGGGATTAACGTCAAGTTGATCACTCCTAATGCCTTTGAGCGACTTTTTCTTTTGTGTTCTGCGCTTTGAATACAACGGGAGCCTGTAAGGCAGGATCCGCCTTCCTTCCTTCCTTCCTTCCCAATAGGGATCCAATTTGGAGTTTAGCTGGGTTATCGAGCTGCTAGAACTTGGGACACTCGTCAGTCTTTGTGTTTTCGAGTTTGGTTTCAAGGTTGGGTTAGCTGGAGCATGGTAGGCTGGGGTAGGTAAGGTAAAGGGCAAGCTTATGGTTTGAAAGCAGAAGGCACGGACATGCCACGAGTGCTTTTTGCGTACTTTGCTGAGCGGCAACGAACACAACGCATGACTTGCATCGGTTCCGTTCAGGTGCGTTGCTACTGTGGCTGGCAGAAAGTCTTCCGAGACCATCTGCGCAGCACAGAGGCAAAGCACTTCCAGAAGCCCCACGTCTACATCCTTACGGCAGACGTGAGCAGGGTGAAGGTAGACTAAGATCTACCGGAGGAGTGGGAGAATGCTGGCAAGCCCATGGAGGTCCAATACTGCCTTGGGACACTTCCACCCGACGGCCGAACTCCCCGATGCAGGCTTCCTTATATCTCGGGGCTGGTTGGGTTTAGGGTTGTCGAGTTGAGATTTGATCAGACTTCGGAAGTCTAGGCATCGTTGACTCTACCCACATAGATCAACTTAAGTATATCTGTTCAGATGTCCTATGTCTGGATTGTCATCGTTGTTACACGTATTGGATTAATAGATAGATGCCTCGGAGGTAGGAAGGTAGGTAGGTAGGTAGGCAGGCAGGTAGGTAGGTAGGTGGATAGAAATACATACATATTCGTGTGTGTGTGTGTGTTGTGCGTTTGTGCTTGCCTATGTACACACATCAAGGCACATACACAGCCGGTATGCAGGTACAAGCACATGCCTGGTGTTTCCAACATGTGGGTTAGGTATTGGGGACTCAGCTACATCGCACTTGTAGCTGAGTTTGTAATGTTCGCGGGATTTATGACACGCCTCGACCTGACAAGCAAAGACCTGGCCTCACAGCAAGCTGTGAACCCTAGTATATCGACAGCTGCATGTCAACCCTTATATTACAGCGCATGAAAGGCCGAAGCTGGAGCAGGGCCGTCCTTTGACGTCGAAGCTTTTACATGTAAAGACGTCAGCTTTGATGTGCTGCATTAAAGCAACTTGACGAGAAGCTTCAAACAATTTCAGCTGTGTGTGAAAACTGACTTTGCGTGTGCCGTGATTACCATTGGTTGTGCCCTAAACCCTAAACCCTAAACCGTGTGCCTCCCTGGAGCCACCCTGAAGCCTGAAGCTTCTCACAAGCTTATGTGATATGAGAGGTGCAGAAAGGGAGGGACCTTTAAACTCACGCCACATCATTAGTTAATGTGATGCTTCTTGTAAGGACCCCCAAAAAGCAAAGCCCCCCGCCCTTCATTTCTAGAACCCTCCCTTGCATGCATCATAGAATCATATAAAACCCCAAACTCCCTAAACCCGAAACCCTAAGCATATAGGTGTGATGTTCTGAGCTTTTGGGTCCATAGGAGAGGCCTGGTTCGAGGTTTTTGGGTTGAACTATGAGTGTTTCCTGGGAGCATTCGAGTTTCAATTATAACCCTTTCCAAAGTCGCCCCAAGTGCCACTTTATATGAGGCAGAAAGCCTGTGCGGTTTGGATTTGGGGGTTCATGCGTCATCCGTTCAGGACTGAGGTTTCCGAACCCATTCCGACTCAGGCTACCTCCCTCGATGTCTGCGGCCTCCTCACCGAAGGCCGACTGCCCAAGTTATGCTTAAGCCCAAGTGGAGGCCAGAGGGAGACACTGGCTGTGGATGGTAATCAGGTGTGGCGAGCGGGAAAGCAAGAATCCTCAGCATCTTCTAGAAATTAGTACTTTTCTTTATTATTATACATAAAAACTATGTACATGTCTATATATATATATGTATATATATATATAAACAAATCACCAGATGCGCATCTTCGTCCTCGTCGTCATCGTCACGGGTATCCCATAGACCTTCAACTAGAAAGCCTGGGGAGCCGAGATCTCACGTTGCGTTTCAGGGTTTCGCAGTTTCGGGCTTTATGCCTTGAGCCTAATAATCTTAACCATATCCTAAACCCGAAACCCTAAACCTTAAACCCTAAACCCTAATGCGGGTTTAGGGCTTAAGGCCTCAATTTGCTTTAGATGTTCATGTCGAGGTTCCGCAAGCGTAAGATGAGCCCCTTTTCGAAGCCCAAAGGACGTGGTTCCTTAAAGGGAGCCATGGTAGGATCCCTGTAACAAGCAGGGTGTGTCTGTTGGGTTTTAGGCTTATGGCCCAGGGTTGAAAGTCAATTTGAAGGGTTTAGGGTTTACGGTTTGGGGTTTAGGGGCTTATAAGGGGTTTTGGTGAGTGTACATCTGGGGCCCACAGGACCTCTCTGGATCGTGAACAATTTTACAAAAACCGTTAATACAGCTGTACACCTAGTTCTTTTTCTTGGTTAAGCCATTTTTGCAAATAGGATCAAAAAAAGGAGCTACAATGGAGACTAATTCTGAACATCCCTGAACCCTACACCGTCAACATGACTCTCAGGTGCCAGCTATTGCCCGGCTGCTTGGGCAAGGACGGGAAGTGGTTGGACGCGCTGGTTGCTTTAGGAGTCTCTGTGAAGTTACCATTGGCTGCATGGTTCACCACAGAGTGCCCGCACAGCTGCACATCTTGAACGAGAATGTCAGGCTTGGTTGCTGCAGGGGTGTCTCAACAAGGCTGTTGGATTCGAAATGGACGGTCACGGAGCTCGAGGAAGAGAGGATGCGTGTTGAAGAGAAGTTGAAACGGCGCGGGGGAAGGCGGCGGCAACGAAGCGCTTGCTCCGTGAACTGGACTAAACCCTAAACCCCAAACCCAACCCCGAGCCCTAAACTCTACAGACCCTGCACCCTAAACCCTAAACCCTGGTGAAATGGAATCGTCTTTGCAAACTCCAGAAAACTCCAACCATTGCTTGCTCTGAGGCAGAGCCAATGGAGCGCGCAACCATGGAGATTCACTACGGTTTCGGGTTTAGAGTTTAGGGTTTAGGGGTTTTGGGTTTAGGGTTCAGGGGTTTTAGGGTTTAGAAGGGTTTGCGTAATTAAATTTAACGGGTTTAGGGCCTAGGGCCTTTGGGGCATAAGGTCTATGGTTTAGGGTGTGATTCAGTACAACGGAAACTAGTATAACCCTACGCACGGCGCTTGCCCAACCAACCCCCTGATTCCAAAACCCGCAGGCCTTGCCTCCAACTCCTAAAAATCTTGAACTTTGAATCTTAAGAACCCGACAATCCTAACCCCCCTAAACCTCCTAAACCCTGAATCCTAAAACCCTATAAACCCGAACACCCATCTCCTGAAACCCACAACCCGGAAACTTGCAAGCCGACGCTGAAAATCCGAGCCCCCAGTCTCCCACCTTCTATACACCCCTAGAACCCCCTAAACCTAAACCCTAAACCCCAAAACCCCTAAACCCTAAACCCCAAACCCCAAATCTAAAGCCTAAGAAGCCCCGAGCTCCGACCTGTGGGGTCAGGAGGGCAATATTGTTCTGGGTTCCCAGGAGAATCTAATCTACGTATGTATGTATGTATGTATGTATGTATGTATGTATATGTATGTACGTATGCATGTAGGTAGGTAGGTAGGTAGGTAGGTAGGTAGGTAGGTAGGTAGGTAGGTACGTAGGTAGGTAGATAGGTAGATAGGTCTACAGGTAGATGGTAAAGAGATAGATAAATGAATAGATGGATAGATAGATGGATAGTCGGCTAGATGGCTAGATGGATAGATGGATAGGTGGATAGATAGATGGATGAGGGAGGTAAACAGATGGAAAGATGGATATATAGGCAGATAGGCAGGTACACATATAGATATGTATGTATGTTTGTATGTAGGTATATGTATGTACGTATGTATGTACGTATGCATGTAGGTAGGTAGGTAGGTAGGTAGGTAGGTAGGTAGGTAAGTATGTATATATATATATACAATTTATAAACAAAATATACACACTTTTCTATTTACCTGAAGCCGGCTTTCTGTGCCAATGCAAGGAGGCTCGGATCAGGATCTTACCGACGCTGACGTTGCACGGAAGGCAGGGGTCCAGAAGGGTTGGAAGAAGCTTGGTAGTTGAGAGGTTACAGGGCTTAAAAGGTTTATATACTTTAAAGGGCTCAAAAAGTTTATATACTTTTACAGTGCTTAAGCTTTGAAAGGCTAATATACTTTACAGGACTTAAAACGGTTTATATACTTTAGGTTGTGCCTTGGGTGTTTGGGAGGGGTTTGTGTTCGAAGAATGATCATGCATCCATCCAGCACCCAGAAACATGAAGCTGCAAGCCCCAAACCCTAAGCCCCCTAAGCCTTGGCAACCGCGCACCTCATTCCCCCAGAATGCCGCAGCTGTTAATGTAGAGGCCTGAATTAATTACCAATAATATTCCTGAAGGGCAGTTTCAACTATACTATAAGGGAGCCATGAAACCCTGTTCCAGTTATTAAAAGACCCCTTGTTTGACTTGAAGGCCGATAGCCCCAAACCCGAAAACGATGCTTGCACTCGGCGACAGGTTTCTTTTCTGGAGGGCCAGCTTCGTCGATACTGCGCAGAGAGAGATTCACTGGAGACGGCTCTGCGCAAGCTTCTTGCCGATTGAAAGTGCTAGGGGTCTGTCCATAGGGATTTGCAGAGGCATGACAAGGCCTTCCTGCTCGGAATGTGTCATTCCTCACTCTGTTAAATGTGTCTACTTTGTCAGTTCTAGTCTTGTTGGGTTCTATGATCTACCGTGTGCTCCAAAAGGCTGCAATGCAGTTCAACTACTCCTGGGAGTCAGACATTCAGGGGGCAGTTGCAATTGTTATGCTCATCAGTTGTTAATGTCAGTGCTCTGTGTTTTTATTAGCTCGAATCCCTCAAGCCCAACAAGCATCAAAACTCTAAACTCTCACAACTTTTGCGCTGAAACCTAAACCAAACCAAACCAAGCAACGACAAGAAGCCCGGCACAGTAGCCAGGCCCCCACACCCAACACTGACGAAGTCCTCCTATCTCCTACAACCCTATACCTTTACTTTGACATACCACAACTTCACGTTTCGTCAGCTTTCTTCCCTGATATAGAATTTCAAAATCCTAGCAAAAGAAGAATGAAGTAGCTTGTGGTAAGCCCTCATCCTGCCAAATCCTGTTTCAGAGTCAGCCTCCCGAACCCTATCCCATAACCCCATAAACCCTGATCCCTCCGAATCCTTAGTTGACAAATCCTATGCTACATCCCTACCCCCAACCCCATGAGATGAAATAAAATCCTAACAAAGCTCCCACAGTCCCAAGGTATAGGGTTTAGGGTTACCCATAGGCCCCTAAGTAGTTCCTTTTTATGATTTCTATTTAGAATCCTATAATTAAGGTAATCCCAAAAAGGAGCTACTTGGGGGCCTATGGGTATAGGTATCCTTGAGACAACCCAAAGACTCTGCAGGCTTCCTTCCAACTCCACGGGGAAGAGCGTAGCCGAGCGCCGGCGCATTGGCGAGGCAGGGAGAACTGGTGTGCGTTACGATTTAGGGTTTAGGGTTTCTGGGGACCCTAAACCATACACCCTAAAGCCTAAACCGAATTCCTGTGTGGTGTTTGATGTGTGTTGTTGTGCTGTAGGCAATGAATATACTGTGATATTGCAGACATTAAGTTTGCAGGGGCTCTGCGACAAGTAGCACAAGCTTGTCCACCGCCCGAAGTTGTCAAGAAGAGCTCAAGCTTTTCGGCCCCCACCCTACGGTACCCCACCCTCCGCCAGTTGGCGTGTCGCCTGCCACACCCTGCGGCACTTCCCCCGCACCCGCAGGGCACCCAACCCCTGCTCCGTGCAGAAAGCGCGGGTGTGGGGGGGTGGCAATCTGCGCAGTAGTTTCCCGCACCAGACATATGAATTACAACTGCTTAATCATGAGGGTTGTATGGCGATGGTGATGGTGGCAGCTGTTCCTTGATGGTACTGATGATGAAGATGACGACGACAACGATGATGTTCAGCATGATGTCAAATATGATCCGATTGTCGACTCACCACAACGAAACCATAGGGGCGGGGGGAAAGGGTACCACGACAGGCCCACCCCGCAGGATGGGGGGCGATGGGGGGGATACCATGGGGTCTCGGGGGGAGGGGGGGTGTGGCAGCCCTGCATCATTCATATATTAGTAGGGTTTAGGGTTTAGGTGTATGTAGGATATATAGGGTTGTTTAGGGTTTAGGGTTCAGGGTTCAGAAGCTCCGGATCGAGCAGTATCTACTCGAGCTCGCTGTTTGGAACGTCGAAAAATAACCACCCACCCACCCACCCACCCACCCAGAAAATCCCCAAACATTAAGAAATACAAAATTCGATTATCATCCATGTATTCAGTCCTAAACCCTAACCCAGAGCTTTAAACCCTAAACCTTGAAGGCCGATGGACGGCGATTGTGGCGAGAACGTTGCCGATCGACCGCGATTGCGGCGAGACCGGTGCCATGCCTCTTTTGCGGCGAGAACGGTGCTGATTGACCTCTTTTGTGGCGAGAACGGTGCCCGACCGCGATTGCAGCGAAACCGGTGCCCGATTGACCGCGATTGCGGCGAGAACGGTGCCATGACCGCGAATGCAGCGAGAACGGTGCTGATTGACCGCGATTGCGGCAAGAGCGCTGCTCGATGGACCGCGATTGCGGCGAGAACGGTGCCCGATTGACCGCGAATTGCTTTAATGTTTCAATATACGTAAGAAGGAAGGTTTAGTGTTCAGGGTTTAGGGTTAGACCCTTTAAGGACCCAATGGGAAGGTCCCTGGAAGCATAGGGCGAATCATAGTACATACTTGGGCCCTGAACGGGTTTCTACATAGTAGCTGTTGCAAGTTCTGGTCTAGGTACACTCCATGGCTATAGATGGGCCCGGCGAGAACATCTTAAAAACTGCACTGACCTGCCCGGTTTCGGAACAAAGGGAGGTTCGCGAGCACACAACCTTGTCCATTTGGGGGCCCTGCCGGGCTCACTTTGGGGTTTGCGATTTTAAGAGTTGGGGTTCTGAGCGGTTGATGATTTCGGGCATCAAGGCTTGTGGAAAAGTTGCGGTGCTTACACGCAGAAGCGTTGGCATAATCACAGAAATCAAGCGATGATAGATTTAGCCCATCTTTATAAATAATACCACTGCACCAAACCCTGAACCGGTATAGTGACCAAAAACAAATCTACTTAGCAGGAACAACCCGCCTGAGCTCCGTCATTTGCTACTCCTTGCCAACCGAACCTGGTCCCACACGAACCAGGCTCCACTTAGCATTTATTTGAAACCTTGAACGGCCGACAACCCGCAGATGCAGCAGCGGCTTGCGGATGTGGAGAGGAGTCACTGTGGTCCATGTCTAACGACGCACAAGACGAGTGCAATGAATGACCCTCATAAACCCTGAGCCCTAAGCCCCTCAACCTCTCTAAATCCTAGCCACTGGAACCCACAGCGCCCTAGACACTAGAGCACTGCAAACACAAGCACTCAGACCCCAGACACTAAGAGCCGTAGACTCAAATCCGAAGGCTGAATCAACAAAACAGCACGGGGAAGCCGAAAGGGCTGGCACGATGATTTCATTAGTAGCTGAGTAGGTAACCTTTAACCTGTTTGGGCTTAGAAAATTCTACCATTATTGAAGGGTTAACCTTTTTGGGCTAGGGTACTCAGCCCCTAAGTTTCATCAGACTTCATAGTGCAAGTGGACACATGATTTTTCTGGGAAATCTGGCCTGGGGTCTGTGTCTTTGGGTTTCGGCTATTGAAAAGCTGGAATAGCTGCATCACGGCCTGAGAGGGTTCAGATAGTTATCATTTATCATCACTACTACTCAGGGCGCTTGTGTTTTTGTTGGCTGTGCTGCTTGCTACTGACACTGTCAGGAGCTCCTTCGTTGATTTGATTACGGGTTACTTTGACCAGGATCCTGAAAGGTCTGTTTGGCGTGCATTGGAGCAGACGCCAGTGAGAATGCCACTACCGCTTCAATGACAATCATCATCATCATCATCATCGTCATCACCGTCATCATCATCATCATCATAATCATCGCTCTCGTCATGGCAGCTTCCGTCAACAGATGAGAGTGGTTTTGCGTAGCACTGCTGTAGTATGCACAACAGACCCTATAGTTACTATAGTGAGCCTAGTGTGGAGTGACTCAGTGGTGCTACTGCAGAGTTTCTATCTTGTTGCCTCCAAGCCGTGCTGCTCCAGCCTCTGTCCAGAACAAGGTAACCTGAAGTCAACTCGAAGCTAGCCGACAGCAAGTTGACTTTCAGAAAACGGAGACAGCTCCTTCCGAGCTCAATCAACAATCGTTGGTTTATCATGCAGGCTCATCGCCGTCGCCGTCTTGAAGTGTACTTGTCATCGCTATCATTGACCCTTGACCCGAAACCCCCACATCCTATAAATCCCATTTAAATCCCACATCCTAAGCGCAACATCCTAAGCAGGACCATGGTGGAGATGAAAACCGGCCTGCGTCGTTTGAGACAGGCCGGGAGCTCCAATGCCTGGCACCCCTCGTTTAGGGTTTAGGGTTTAGGGTTTATTAATCTCCCAGGTAGTATTGGGGAGACTCCTTAAAGGGGACCCTTCTTACCCCTATTGTGACTCTCTTAAAACCGGGTTTTACACAGAGAGTCTACATCCCCAAGGGTCTCCCTAGTCTCAACTCCAATAATCTAGTTATACAATTTTCGTATAGTATGTTACAATAGAGAATATAGTATACTGTCGAATAGTATAGTTGATTTAGTATAACAAAGTACAATATCATATTGCGTAGTAACGTAGTAGTAGGACACAAGATAATGTAGCATAATCTTGTATAACAGAATATACTCTGCTCCCAAAACCAATATTCAGGGTTAGTACTTGGTTTCAGCTTCGTGCACCTTCAGTTTCGGAAGCCCCCTTTTGTAAGCCTTGCCTAGATGCTCTTGTTTAAAGTGTCACATGAACACTGGGATTTGGGGGTCAGGGTTGAAGAGCTCGGGAGGTCCCTTTCAAATAGAGGGTACACCTACAATAAGAATCATGGCCCCCCCCCTCCCCCCCAAAAAAACCTCTTCTTATTATTGAGGCCGTCGAAGTTATAACTAGTCGTTCGCTTCCACGGGCTTCGAGGCGTTGCGACATGATCGAATCGAAGTGGTCTCAGGCCAGAGCAGAGAGAGACGAGACAAACGACGAGTTCAAGCCAGAAACAGCTTGTTTCGGTCCACAGGGGTGTTGTTTGCAGGGCTGGTACCTTCAACGCCGTGCTTGACGGTTCGCGTCAAGAACATGACAGTTCTCTCTCCACCCTCCAACGTGGTTGTTTGTTGACTGACCGCCGATGAACCCCGCGAACCACACGTGTGGTCTGTCTTGTTCGAACCCTTATGTAACAAACCTTCTATTCTATTTAGGACCCCTTGCAAACAAAGGAGCTGTATTTCGAGGCAGACGGCTGAAACCATGGCATCCACAAAACCTCCAACCTCTTCAGAAGGACCGGTCCGAATGTGGTTCCGTGATTCCTTGAAGGGGGACCCCAGTATGGACCCCTACAGTGCCCATAAAGGGGTCCCCAAGTAGTATAGAACCCCACGGTACCCCTTGAGGGTTGTTCGAAGTGTATTAGACCATGCAGGGGTTTAGTGCTTTTGGGTTTGGGGCTTCAACTGTTGGGCTTGCGATTCTGGTGGGTTCGTCTAGTGGTTTCGGAGGACTTCGGATAATTATTATGGGTTTCGGGCATTTAGGCTTGAAGGGTTTTCCATCAGGTCTGCCGATAGGCCCTGTTTAAGGAATACTCCTCAATTGCAGACTTAATCGTCATCGTGTTCTTGTACGGAATGGGTATTCGTCAATCCAGATACCGCGAGACGTGGGATGAGCTTCGTTTGCAAACAACCTAAACCCTAAACCCTATAAAACGGTCTAGAAAAAAATAGTCGTGCGCCGCCTTCTTAATTAACCCCCTTGGTTACTCTACCCAGGGACTCAAAACCCCTTACATAAGCGATACACCGTTAATTTTGAGCCCACCCTATGCCCCCTGAACCCTAAACCCAATCACGTAGAGCTAGACTTAGAGAGCTTACTATGTTGCAAGGAGTGTGCGTAGATCTTTTGACGTTGGAGTCTCTAGGTTCGTCCTCGGCTAGAGAGCAACGCAGTGGGATCTGGATAGCTTGCCTACCCGGAGTGCTTGGAACCCAAAAGCCCTATACTAGCCCTCTACACATCGACAGCTCCAGCCCCGCCTCCGCCCTCGCAAAACACACAAGCGAACGGGTTCGGGCAGTTTTCCGTGTTTTCAGGGTGCTCACCAAAACGGCAAGGCCGGGCAAGATGCGTTCTTTATCTTGCTCTTTAGATCTCCGACGTGGTGATTTGGGCTTATGGGCTAAGGTAGGAAGCAGTGATGGTGGGGAAGGTTTAGGTTGCTGCATTGCACCGCCTCTCAAACCCTGAAGCCTGCCTTTTAGCCAGTTGCCTGAGGACGCCAGCAGCAGAAATGAGTGCCTTGAGCCAAAGTGCTCCGTCTGACAATTAAGTGCTCTGCAAGGAATTACGAATCAAGGAGCGGACTGGCAGTCGACACCACCACTAGTCTTGCTGGCTTCCGCGATAGCTCTAGAGCCGAATTAAACCCTACCTATAGCCTCTATTGTAGTTCCGTTTTGGGGTTGCCTGAAAGGAAAGGAATTACAATGGAGACTATAGGTAAACGGTAGACCGTTAACCTGCAAACTAGACCTTTTTAGGTTCCAGCTCTAACACAACAATCTATAGACCATGCAAGTCTCCCCCCCCCCCTGAAATACCAGTATGCGCACATTCGGGGCTCCCTAAGTGAACTGAACAACAGGACAAGGTATAGGGATGGGAGGAATTACTGATCGTATTTCGGGTTTCGGATTTAGGCTGTTAGGGTTTTGGGATGCTTAGAGTTAAGGGTGCAGGCTAAGGAAGTACAGACGTACCTTGTGAGAGCTCGTGGTGTAGGTTGTCCTCCTTATAGGCTCTGCGCCAGGACTTTCGCTCTCGAACCGCTCGCTTAGACGGCGAGTTCGACGAGTTCGATTCAACTCTGAATGCCCCCAAACCTGAGGGACTCTAGCATCCGAAACGCCGCGCTGAACCCTATAAACTATAAACCTTAAACCACCCAGAAGATCGATCCCTATACACCCCAGAACCACCCTGACCGAACCTGGGGCTGGAACCCGACATCGTCGAAGTGACCTCGACAGCACGGGTAAAAGCCGTGCGTTGCTTTGGGGCTAGGGTGCGCTGTGGGGTGAAATGTGGCATGGAGAGACTTCCAGGGTACATTCTGCCCCGCTTTACATGCTTTTACTACTATACCTTGACTCCGACCTGGACCCCAGAAGTATGTAGAATAATAGCCTTTTATAGGGTTTGGGCCATTATTTGACCTACTTTTGGGGGTTTAGGGAAGCACTTCCTTATGGCTGCCCGTTCGACCCTTATTCGGAAAGTAACATGTGGATCTGACGATCTCCCTCACGTTGCCCCTCGAACGACAGGTCTCAGCAGCAAGTGCTTTCTGAAAACTTTCGAGCAAGAAAGGCGACAGCAATTCGCACGAGTTCCGAAGCTGCCGTTTCGGGTGTAGTGTCCGAACATTTGTCGATTCTTGCACGGCGGCGGCGAAACTACGGCAGTAGTCGTGCACAGCAGTCCTTGAGATCCGTTTGATATATGCATGGCTAGCTTTGGGGCACTGCTTGATGGTCAAGCGACAGCTTCAGGGCGTGCTGTTGCTCCGTGCCGGAGCCCATCGCGTCTCATGCTCGCTGATCTTGTGTCACGACGCAACGCCGGAACGAGCGCTTGCAAGAGTTTGCTCGGTCCCTCTGCAGCTGCTACGCAGCGACGCGAGGCCCATGGTTGGGAGTGTGAGGTTTGCGGCCCACCTCAAAGGCACAAACTCTCGCAGCCGGCACCCGACGAGTCGTTGCTCACGGAAGATCTGCCGGTAAAAAGCCCATGGGCAAGCACACGCGAAAACTACTGACAATACATTTGCGGGGCGCAGCTCACGCAGTCGCAAAGCTGGGTCACAGTCCGGAGACGAATTGCTTCCGGAAGTCCAAAAGCCTGAAATGCATATGTTTTTTCATTTTTTCTTTTGCCGACACTTTAAGAAGGAAGGCAAGGCACTCACGCTCAGTCGCCTGGGTTGAACCTGCTGCACCCCTCTTTTGGGGAGCCTGAAACACCCTGTCAATGAGGCAGAGATCTGTTTCTCCGTTTATGGGGGTCAAGCGGCGCATCTGCGAGAACGGTGATCAATTATGAAGCCACGGGCGAACGTTGCGATATGGAATGGATGCCATACCACGTACGACACCGCAACAATGCCGCTTGCTCTCCGGATTGAGTTGAATCAATCGAGCTGAGCTGCTTATGCTCGTCGTAATGCATGGGGGCATGTGTGAACATGTGCAAACTAAACTAAATCGGTTCCCAAGGTTGCGGCGGTTGCGAGTGTTCCAACAGCGCTTGCATATCGTTTGCCACGTTTCCAGTTTCCAAGTGCTGTATGCCCGGGCACTGTTTTCAACAGCTTTCAGGCGCACAGGCCAGTGTTGATCCGGCAACAAATGCGACTCGCAAACACAAACAAACAATGTTGTTGTTTCCTGCTGCCCCTGCCGCTGCTGCCCTTTCCACGCGATCATGCACACCAACATGGGCAGCGAGTCTGGACCGCCATGACTTCGGCGTTGCTCACATGCCGAGTTCCTGCCCGAACATGTTTAAAGCAGTTTTTTGTCCGTGTGTTGCTGGTGCGCTGCTTGCGCCTGCATCTTGTCCCGGCTTGCGCCAATGTTGTTGTGGTCCGAGGCGTTTGTCTCCGCAGTGGACTCGGTTTGGTAGTGCCCCACAGCTGATTTTGCCTTGCGCATCGCTCGCAATGCCAAAGAGCAGGCATACCCCCAACTCTTCCTTCTCGCACGTCGCCGGCTCATTGTGTTTGGGATTGAGCCAGGGCAGCCCAGTTCATCCGGTTCCTCACCAGCAGCCGCGCTCACACCACTGCGCGCTCGAGATTCCGAGCTGCCCATTGCGTCACCGCTGGTCTGCCCTCCTGTCCTTCGGGAGAAGGGAGGGTGTTTGGACAAGCCCACAAAGAAGGAGCTACTCACGGCGCCACATGTAGTGCTGCTCACTACACTGCAAGGTCTGGTTTCTGTTGATTTCTGTTGCACCAGGTTGGGGAAGCCTCCTCTGCCTTGCCCAAAAAAACAGCACGGGACACAAAAGCGACAACAACGACAAAACCACAAACTAAGTACTATCACCACAGCCACGGTGACGGTGACAGAAGTGGGTTATAGCAATAGTAGGACTACTAGTTACTATTTGTAATGTGCCTTGATGATAGGCCATACAAATTGCGGAAGGACAGGTCAGATCATCAGTGCTTTGGTCGTAGAATACATTTTTACCATCGATGTCACCCGCGGCAATAT